TGAAGAAGAGGGGTCAACAAAGCAAATATTGACTTGCTGCATTAACTCATTCTAACTGTCAATAAAAGCTTTTGTTACTCATAATATGATTGCAATTGTATTTCTGTATGTGATGAAAACATCTGACATACACACATGAAAACCAGAGGGCAGCAGATCATGTGAAAATATAATATTTGTGTCATTCTCAAAACTTTTGGCCATGACTGTACAAAATTTGAATAAATAAATCACCCATCCACTGTAGTTTCCACGCCAGACAGAGCTGCCAGATGAGACATGATAAAACTGTTCTGAAAGGTATTGCATTTTGACCCAAACTGTTGTATGTGGGTGAGGGTGTTGTAACATGAGGGGGTGTGCTGAATTTAGTGAAAATGTGCACAGAAAACGAGGGACACAAAGCATATTTTGTCTATGTTACAACATCCTCACTTAGCACACGACAGTTTGGGTCAAAATTAGTGCTGGGCATAGATTAAATTTTTTTAATCGCGATTAATCTCAATTTTTTTTAGAAACAATCACTCTGCTATGGCTGAACGTGTACATTTGTATGTTGCAATTCATGTGTGACACACATTTTGTTCGCTGCGCGAGTCGCGGTCGCAGCTTTTTTTCCCTCCCCCTCCTCCTGTGTCAGGAGGGGAGCTCAGAGCTCACTCCGTGTGCCTGTTACCAGGTAAGGGCAGGTAAGGGGAGCAGCAGTGGTCAAAATACCTCAGAAACTCGCCCAAATAAGCAACCTCTGTGAGATTCCGCGTTTTACACTGGATTCCGTGACTGGATTCCGTGCGCGTTTTTCGCATCACGGAAATTATTCGGCCCGACCTAAACTGATCGATCATTATGTTTTTATGATTGTTGAAAACCCAAATCGTAATCTAGATCAAAATCCAATTAATCACCCAGCCCTAATTTGGAATGGCAAAAAAAAAATCCTTGAATTTTTCATTTAATTTCATTATTCTGCATAAAATTTTACTGACTTTAAGATGTTTAGAGCATTTTAGGTACTGTTATATATATATATATGGGGGGGGGGGGGGGGGGGGGGCAACGCATTTTGAATAAGGCTGGTCTTACTTTTTCCTCTTTCCCCCACACGTTGGTCAGCAGAACCTCCCAGTGTTTGTTTCCACTGGTTTTAAACTGAAGTTATGTTTCAGGCTCAAACTACTCCAATGGTGAGACAGTTTAGTGTTGCAACACTTAGAGAACTTTACTTCCTTCCAGCCCACCTGGGAAAAGTTTTAAAATCAAAAAATGCCCTGCAGAATCCAGCGGCTTCAGGCATATTTCCCTCAGCTGCAGCTCGGGTTCATGTGAGCAGCTGCACGCTCAACAACAAACGCTCTCATTGGATGAGACGCATGATGGAGGCTGTCTAAAGCCAATAGTGATCAAGATCCCGCCTCCCTGCCGCGACCACTGAGAGTCTGTGTGTGTCTGTGTCTGAACTGGCAGCCCAGAGAACAGAGATCAGATGGAGAAATATAAAGAAAATGCGTTAACACGTGTTGAAAAAATTATTGCCGTTAACTGTCAGCTGCGTTAACGTCATAACGTGTTAACGTGCCCAGCACTAGTCAAAATATAATAATTTAAAAGATCATACCTAAATGTTTATCCTATTTGCTTCAATAAACATTTAAAAAAACGTTTTCAGAGAAAACTCTGGTGTGAACAGGACCTAACCTCCACTCTGACACCTGGTTTCAAACCGTGATGTCACAGACTCCATCACTGATGACGTGTGAACAAGTGGTCGCTGAGTTTCACGAAAATGTGTGGTTTCACTAAAAAAACTGATCCATGTAAACAGACCCTTCTCTGAGGACATGGTGTCAGTGGTTAAAACAAACAAAAGTTCAAAGGTGGATTAATCTGCCTAAAAACAGTTTTCCAACATTATAGTTACCTGGTCCAGAGAAAACAGTATTCCCTTTTTGCATGATAGAGCTTTAAACCACATTTAACCACCTAATTTCCCTCTGGGATCAATAAAGTATTTTTGAATTGAATTTCTGAACTGTGATTCTACACAGTGATGTGAGGAAGTGTTGTTGAACCCGTGCTCAGATTATATTCAAACCTGTTTTCATGCAGGAGCTCCTGGGGGTCTGAACATCAAGACCATATTCTGCTGACTTTCAGTTTTGTCCTTGGGGCTCAGAGATTTCAGATTCTTAAAATCTATGAACTGCAGATGATGTGATCCTGACATTCTTCTTTATACATTTTTTGTTAAGGAACATTATTCCAAAACTATTTTAGACATTTTTTTTACAGACTGGTGAACCTCTGCTCATCTTTACTTCTAAGAAAGTCAGCCTTTTTAAAATGCTGATTTATTATTTTATGCAGTCCTTTTACTGACATTTTGGTAACCCAATTAGTTGCAAACTGTTTTAAAGGGATCCCTGATTAGTTGTAACATTAGACTTTATTTAATAAACATTTATTTTAACTGTAAAATAAAGAATAAAAATACTGCAGGATGTTTAGTTTTTATCATTTTTAAACTAAAAGTTTAAAAATGCAGTATATTACACGGACGGGGCCATTTTATTTAA